TGACATGAAAATATATGTATTTTCTCTAAAATTTATTTCGTAATTCTTTTTTCGCTGTTTCGCTTATACCAGCAATACGTAATTTTTTAAAAAGTTAGATTCCCGATATTAATATAGCATAACATGAAAATATATGTATTTTCTCTAAAATTTATTTTGTTAATTTGTTTTTTTGCTGTTTTGCTTATACCAGCAATACGTAATTTTTTAAAAAGTTAGGTTCTCAATATTAATATAGCATGACATGAAAATATATGTATTTTCTCTAAAATTTATTTCGTAATTCTTTTTTCGTTGTTTTACTTATACTAGCAATACATAATTTTTTAAAAAGTTATAAATATAAAAAAGATAAGTTCTTTTTTTTTTATTTTTTTCACACTTTCATTTTCAAAATGGATAGAGGCATTGTAATCTTATACAAAAGACAGCCACAAAAAAGAGGGTGCACTATGGCCTAAACAAGTAGCAGCAAGAGAAGACGTTCTTTCTCCTCATCATCAAGAGGTACTATACATTGGTTAAAAAAAATTATATTTTAACTAAACAATACCTCGTAATATATATATTACGAGATATTGTTTAGTTAAAATATAATTTTTTTTTAGCTAGTGATATATCGATATCGGGAAGCTTGCATTATAATTTTATATAATGTTAAGCCAGGCTATTTGCATATAAATATATATAGAAAGAAAATGATTACCTCCAGTTTCACCTATTATCATTAGCAGCAATAGTGAGAGTAGTGATAGTGGTAGTGAAAACAGTTTTAGTAGTGAAAGTATCAATATAAGCAGTGATAATGAATATTTAGAAGCATTTAGGGTATTAAGATATTTGAATATAAGTACCAGGTCCTAATAGAAATATTAAAAATATAAAAATTTTTTATATTTTTGATATTTCTATCAGGACCCGATACTTATAGCTAATTTTTTTCTGTTTTTTTTTGGCTATTTTGTTTTATACATAAAATATCTGATAATTAATATAATAGACTGATATCTTTTGGATTATCGATGGTCTAGATGAACAAAATAGATCAGACCCTGCGAAAAAATAGTTCGAATTCGAAAAACGGTTTTTTCAGAGATCATTTCCAAAAATTAAATATGGTGTGACAAAATACCATGTCGATGATGACCAAATACTTCACATTATCAAAGAAAGATATAGATATAAGCATGAAAAATATTTAGAAAAAAAAATCTGGCAAAACATAATCGCACTAAAGGAAGGATGAGACATAATACGCAGTCGTTACAGGTATATTATTATTAATACTATTACATATATATATAAATATTGGCATTTTATATCTCACTTATTATTTATTA